GTAGTACCTATGTGTCCACTTAGGTGCTACTCAGTTAATACCAGTTTGTTGGAGAATATATCTGGTGCTTGTTTCTCCATTCTTGGGATACTTCACTTAGTAGTATGGGTTCCAGCTCTAACCAGGATGAGCACTCACTCTTGATATAGCCCCTAGCAATAAGCTCACCTAGTTAACTCACACAGCCATGTGCCTGAACACATAACCCCAGGAGAACTGGTCAGCATTAGATGTAATGTTTGCTACTTCTCAGAGCTGAACCACCAATTTTTAAAAAATCTTCAAAATATAAAAGTTCCCCGAGCTAAGGGAGCTATCCTCAGCTATTCCAAGGCCACTTCTGTCCTGCTCCACTCTAGTGGAGACCTGGCATCTAAACCCAGTACCCACCACTGCACATAGAGAAATAGCAACAGGTACACAGGTCTCCATGGGCAGAAAGCACATGGGCAGTATGGATAATCCATGATGATTCATTGGAAAGAGCAGTGTTTGTTGTGTATGGGGGCTCTTGGTCTGTGTGAAATGCCTCAGCACTTTGTGGGCGTGAAATACAGAGAATTCAAGACAGTCAAACACTCCACTGGGACAAGACAATCACCTACTTTGGAGCAGGGTTGAAAGGACAACAGAGCTGAGTCGCCCTGTGTGAAGAAGCTGGGCTGGAGATGTCCAGGCAGAAGCAGGACAAGAGGAGCTCAGGAGGAGAGGGGTGTGTGACTCAAGGGGGAGGCATCATGTTTCTGATCCCTGACATCCTTTCACTCTAGGGCAGGGTGAGCCATTCCTGATGAGGAGATACACAAGCAACTCCCAGAGGGACTCTCCATGAAAAGGATTTTCAGGTCACAGGTGTAACCAAGAGCAGCAGAGCATTTGAGTGGCTAAATCCAACCGAAAGCAACCCTCCCTCTCATCAGTGGGCCCCAGTGATCTGCAAGTGATCTTGAGGGCCCCTCAAGAAAGGCAGATGGGAAAAAAAGGCAGAAACAGACTTTCTTCAGTCAAGTTGCACAGAACAGTCTATAGCCTTTGATATTAAAATTCTTCAGTTATTCGAGCTGAGTGCTTGTAAATAAAATCAGATAGAAGAAACCAATTAAAAGCATGAGGTCCAGAACCACACAGGCAGGGCTCAAATCCCACCCCTCCCTCACTTCCTGTGCGGTGCTAATCTCCATGTGTCTTAATTCCCTTATTGTAATATGGGAATCATAATAGTCCCTAAACTCATAAGAACAGTTTTGAGATTTAAGAATGGGAGTATATCTAAATTCCTTAGCAGAGTGCCTGGCACATAATAAGTCCTCATTAGATATCAGCTACTATATCATCGCCATCATCATCATCAGGCTAGTAAGTGCAATGGTGTCTATTTCCCAGGTTTCTGGGCCACGGAGTCCACATGGCTTAAAGGGACATAAGATGAGCTGATTAATAGCTAGAAGACAGCTCCCATACTCAGGTCATGCTTAGCATGGGCCCACTGAGGATGTGAATACGCAGCAACAGCAGGACACCTGGTCACATTCATAGGAGCAGGTGAGTCAATATATGTGGCAGGGAGGCTAACAAAGTAAGTGACTTGTCATGGAAATGGAGACTATGGGAACAAAAGGGTAAACAACAAGAAACAGGCAGGAAGGCGAAAAGAATACACATAGAAAATCAGTTGGGTTCTTGATTACACTGTGAGATTCTACTTATATTTTTAACACCTTCATACCTTGACTTCTGGCATCTGCCCTGTCCAGATCCCTTCCTAGGGTCTTATTTTCACAACGATGTTCCTTTAGATTGATCCAAAATACAGGGCTAGTCAATAATTCTTCCCATGCTTTGTGTGGTATGTGTATTTTAATAAGGAATGCTATTAAAGGAATGAACATCCTTCATGACCCAGCACCCACCAACACAGCACATTCTATGAGCTCTTGTTTGGCAAAAAAAAAAATATCACAGGGTACAAGCTCATGTGTAATTTTTAAATCATCTTCCTCTTCAGTAATAAAGTACAAGATGTTCCTCAATGTGCTGAAATTCTCTAGATGACTATAGCGACCAGGAAGGAAATAAGAGGCGGAAGCTTGAGTTTTCATAAGTCATTAAAATTCGAGTTGTTAAGCTAAGAAACCGTACATGAATAAGGGGATTCTTGCTTGAGAATATTCCAAATATTTAATAAAATCCCAACCTTAACTTCTCTATACTTCATGAAATAAAATATAAAAGTAAACAGCAAAAAGTAAAAACAGGAAGCGTTACTAAAATACTCAATTGTAGACGAGTGAAATGACCTTTTCCTTTACACTTGCCTTAGCGAATAGGTGGCTATATATATTTTTCATCGTCTTTTAAGAAGTTAATTATATATGTCTCCAAGCTGTTACTCTAAAAGAAAAACACCCTCTAAGTGTAAGGCCAAGGACTAACAGTTTTCATCACCATCACCAACCCAACCACTGATTTATTTCATATAATTAGGCTTCAATTATCCAGTAAGAGCCAAAGAACATTTGCTTTCCTCTAAAATGTCTCTTCTATGACCCCATAAAGTCCACAGGGTCCGTCAGGAGTATGTTTTCTCTCCATCGCAAATATTTTGCCACATGTGTTTGCTATGATTGGCTGAGCATGTGATGACCTCTATTTAATTAGGGCAAGATTTAACCTCCTAAAAGATGTGTCTCATGTTTTCAAGATCTGGCCATCTGAGAGTGCCCTCCCAAGTAGAAACCTGAGGAGCCATAACTCTTTCGGTGAAAGACTTCTATTCATGTAAGGAAAGGACAATCTTAATATTCTCAAATGACATATTGACACAAAAAAGAATTTCAAAACTCAAGACTTCTGTTTTTGAAGATAAAAACAAAATGCATGTTTTACTATTATAATATATTTCTGTGTGTTTCCAGCTGACAAGATTTCATCACAGGTACATTTAGCTATGACTTTTAATTCAGGACATTTGATAAAAATGTCTCAAATTAAATTAGCCATCATAATTTTCAACCTAATGTGAATTCCCTCCAGATACATTTTTATAATTATCTCCATTTGTTTCATTTAATTCTCAGAATGATTTTTTTTGCACATCCTTCCTATTTTATGCCTCTTCATAAATGAGAAAGATATATTATATGCCCCTCCTATAATTTTTATGTTATATATAGCAGAATTATGACAAATTATGAGGATGACAAAACTATCATCCTCAAAATTATACTAGTTGAAGTATTTTTATGCCATAAAGTAAATTAAGAATGATAATAATTTACTATTATAATTTACTATTATATACCATATAATATTAATAATATAGTGTTTACTCTGAGACAGGGACTGTTCTAAGTGCTTTGCATTTATGAACTTACTTAATCCTCACATCAGCCCTGTCAAAAGAGTAATAAAATGATCTCCCCTTTACAGATGGATGAGTTCAGGCCCAGCGGGATTAACAGGCCCCATTACACAGCTGAGAAGCGGTGTTCAGGGGCCCATTCTCTTAATCACCAAGCGGGGCTGCCTCTTTGAACTCATATCACTTTACACCATTGCCACAAAGATATTTCAAATATACCAAAACGACCTTGTCACATCTCTGTTAACAAACCTCTAAAACCCCCTCCTGATCCAAATGTCCATGCATCGTGCATTTTATACCATCATATCGCTGCATGGTGTTGATGGTGCGTAATTCTTTTTTTTTTTTTAAGACAGAGTCTCACTCCGTTGCCCAGGCTAGAGGGCTGTGGCATCAGCCTAGCTCACAGCAACCTCAAACTCCTGGGCTCAAGCAATCCTCCTGCCTCAGCCTCCCCAGTAGTTGGGACTACAGGCATGTGCCACCATGCCCAGCTAATTTTTTCTATATATTTTTAGTTGGCCAATTAATTTCTTTCTATTTTTCAGTAGAGACGGGGTCTCGCTCTTGCTCAGGCTAGTTTCGAACTCCTAACCTTGAGCGATCCTCCTGCCTTGGCCTCCCAGAGAGCTAGGATTACAGGCGTGAGCCACTGCGCCCGGCTGATGGTATATAATTCTTCGCATAAGAATCATAAATTCTGTAAGGACGAAAATCACAGTTGCGTTTTCAAAAGTGAGTTGCTTCCATTTCTAACACCCTTTCTTAACCATAGTGGGGCTTGTGGAATGTTTGGACAATGAAGGAGCAGAAGGTCTGTGCTACAGGCAGAGCGGGCTCAGCCTCGCGGTGAGACGAGCCGCTGAAGGCGAACAGTCCCAAGATGGGGCTCGCTCGGGTTCCCGTGAGAAGCAAATACATTCATTTCAAAGGCCAGAGCTGTTGTTTGGTTGGAAACACATATCTTTGCAATTCTTTTTGTTCTTAGAGTACATCACACAGACAAATCGCTGTGTTATAAAGTCATTTGAAATGTTCCTTCCTTCTTAGGTTATGTCACCAACTCAGTATGCAGCATTCAACTGTTTTAATTTGGGGAAAAAATGAATTCTTGTCAAATTTAGGCCACAAGATCATTTTGTGACCTCGAACCAACCACACAGTATATGCCCAGTGTTGTTCATATTTATGAATATTGACATCCCCAGGCAAAATTCTGAATCGGGCCATGTTTTTAGTTATCCTCTTACCCTCCCCTCCCTCTTTACTCATGGTCTCCATCCCAGTATTTGCTTCGTAAACAGACTGCAAATGGGGTAGCTCCCCGGGCCTCCCGGGCCAAATGCTCTCCACGGCCGAGACCTCTGGGTTCCAAGTCCAGGTCTGCAGAGTGCCCCAGGCCTCGCCCAGGCCCCCATCATCTCTCCAAACCACCCAGCCTGCGTCTCAGTCAACATTCGATTTGGACAGCAATCTAGAAAGGTAAAGACTGCTCTAGAGCTAACAGTCCTCTAAAAACACAAAGCCCATTTTTTGTAGAAAACATTAAAAACCTCAACATTTAAAAACTGAGAGCTCTCGAATTAGAATTTGTATTTGTAGTCTCTCTAGATAAGGTGGCCGCACTGGATCCTCGTGCCCACAGGGCAGTGATCTGTGGAGCTGAGTGGCCTCTGGCCTCTTCAGGCAGGGCACGCATGGTCCCCATTTATGGGGTCTGTCTGGCTTCTGTCAACGTTGGATTCACTAACCTCCATGCTCGGTGGCCCACGACGGTATTATCTATGTTCCAAGCAGTAACATGGATGAGTGAAGAAAAGTGTCAAGGAGCACACGTCAACAGCATCTTTTAAAAGATTCCTGTGGAAATGCTATATGACACTCCAACTTACATACCACTGGCAAGAACAAAGTAGCATATACATGCTCACTGCAAAGAGAAATGTATCTTTACTGTGACCATTTGTTCTGGCTAAATGATTTCAGGATTATGGAAAAACGGGAAAAGGAACTTTAGAAAGCAAGTAGCAATTTTTAGCACACCTTCCCTTTCTGCCTCAAATGGTTGTTGTATGGCTCATATAGGCAGCAAATATGAGGAATTTTCATAAACTATATTATTCGAGGTGAAATATCATTAACTATATTCTGCTTCTAACAAACACAAATAAATTTTAAAAACCTAAAATTAAATAAAAGTTTCCTATAATTTTAATAAAAGTCTTCTTGAAAATATGCCTACTAAAAAATATTATGCCAGGCCCTTAGCAAAAAGGTAAATGTATATACATATATAACAGAGGGGTAATGAATCAGGCACTCCTGTTCAGTTTATTGAATGTAAACTATTATGTTTCTAGAAAGTAATTTGGCAGTGTGCATAGAGACTCTAAAAAATGTTTTCATTAATTGATGTAGTTCCTCTTCTGACTATCAAAGAAGTATCCTGAAAGATTATATACTGATACTCATCCTGATGTTTCTTAAAAACTCAAAAATAGGAAAACAATGTCATGGCAAAATGGAAGTATAGGCTAATAAATTAAATTATAGTATATTCATGTGATGAAATATGCAAACATTAAAGTATATCTTCAAATTTTACTAATGTGAAAATAAATACTTATTTATGATTTATATGAGGGGAAAAATAAAAGCTTCAGAAAACTTACATAATATCCCAATGTGTCTTAAAAGCCTTAAAAATTAACTTTCTTTGATGCTGCAATTCATCTTCAGAAATCAATTGCTAAATGTATCACAATTTTTACTTTTATATTTGTAGAAGAAAGATGTCAGATTTTTAATAGTGGCTAATTAATAGGGTATCTCTGGATACAAAGATTTAGGGACCAACGTTTCATTCTTTATATCTTTCTATGTGTTTCAAAATCTAACCTAATCAGCAATAAGAAAACAACCTGATTTCAAAATGGACCAAAGACCTTAACGAGTACCTCACCAAAGAAGATACACACATGGCAAATAAGCATATGAAAAGATATGCGCATCACAGTCATCAGGGAAATGCAAATCAACCCAAGGAGATACTATGCACCTACTAAAATGGCCAAAATCTAGAATACTGACAACACCAAATGCTGATGAGGATGTGGAAAAACAGGAACTCTCAGTCGCTGCTGATGAGAATGAATGGCACAAATGACATGGGCACTTTGGAAGACAACACGGTGGTTTCTTCCAAAATTAAACATACAATCTTACCATACAGTCCAGCAATTGCACTCCTTGATGTTTACCCAAAGAAGGTGGAAATCTGTCCCACAAAAAGCTACACTTGGATGTTAATAGCAGCTTTCTTAATAATGGCCAAAACTTGAAAGCAACTAAGATGTCCTTCGCTGGGTGAGCAGGTAATAAACTGTTGTACATCCAGACAATAGAACATTATTCAGCGTTGAAAAGAAAGGTGCTATCAGGCCGTGAAAAGACGTGAAGAACCTTGAATATGACTAAGGAAAGAAGTGAATCTATGCATGATTCCAACCACATGACATTCTGGAAAAGTCAAAACTAAGGCGATAGTGAAAGGATCAGTGGTTGCCAGGGGTTGAGGGAGGGGGTGGGAGAGTGGGAGGAGCACGGAGGCCCCTCAGAGCAGTGACACTACCCTGTGTGGGGCTGTGACGGCGGATCATGTCATCACAAACTCGTGTAAACCCTCAGAATGGACAACCAAGAGGGAGCCCTAACATAAACTATGGACTCTTGGTGACACTGATGTGTCCATGTACCATGTTTCCCCCCACATAAGACCTACCCATAAAATAAGCCCTAACAGAATATCTAAGCATTTGCACAATATATGCCCTACCCTGAAAATAAGCCCTAGTGATGGGCGTGGCGACACAGCGCATCTGCACAGCCCATGCATTTCGTTGCAGAACGGTAAAGAAGACAAGCAGCCCTTGTCACCTGCCCCATCGTGACAGCTACTATCCCAGAGATGACCAGAAAGGTACGGGCAGCCCCACTAACAAGGTGGGCTCCCCTGTAAGGTCCCAGACATCCTGCGCGTGCTGCAAGCTGAGGCTTTGAGGGGAAAATAACACATCCCCTGAAAATAAGCCCTAGGGTGTCTTCTTGAGGAAAAATAAATATAAGCCCCTGTCTTATTTTCGGGGAAACACAGTAGGTTCCTGAGTTGTAACAGATGTACACTGCGGTGCAGGATGCTGGTAATGGGAAAGCTATGCGTGTGTGTGTGTGTGTGTGTGTATGTGTGTGTGTGTCTGTGTGTGTGTCTGTATGGGAAACTTCTGTATTTTCCTCTCAGTTTTGTTGTGAAACTATAACTGCCCCCCAAAAATGGTCTATTAAAAGAAAATCTCATCTAAGACAATGCATATCTTATACCAAAAATGTTATTAATGTTTTTATTAATTCATTCAATAACTATGCCTTAATATGTCCTCTGTCTAGACGCTGAGGATTTGTTTATGAACAGGACTGACGAGATCCCTACTCACTCAGAGCTTACATTCAATGAGAGCAGACAGAAAATAAACAAGGAAAAAGCCCTGCTGGTTTGGATGTGAGGTGTGACGGGAAGAGAGGACTCAAGATTGTCCGAGAAACTGAGGATATGATGTCATTTACTGAACAGGAAGAAAGGGTTTCAAAAGTATTGAGAGGTGATTGTTCAAGTAACAAGTACGAAATGCACACATGAGGGGACAGTGTTGTCAGGGCTGACACTTGGCTGAAATATACTGTGAAAAGCTAGTAACTTCCCATTTCCCTCCAAACTATGAAAAATGGAAAACTTTTTACAATGAAATTTTTGTTTTAATGAGGTAAACACTATTTATCAGAGAAAACGACGTTGACTTTTAAAGGATTTCCTGATTCTGTAATTCTTTGCAACTTTGGGTTTGAATGTCTTATGCCTGAGATGTTGAATTAGGAGTGGAAGCTTCTGAAAGGCATTTTATAGGGTCTCTTAATCAAATCAATTTCACTATTTGCATACTTTTTTTTTTCTTTGAGACAGGGTCTCACTGTGTTGCTCAGCCTAGCTCACAGCAACCTCAAACTCCTGGGCTCAAGCGATCCTCCTGCCTCAGCCTCCCAAGTAGCTGGGGCTACAGACATGTGCTACCACACGTGGCTAATTTATATATATATTTTTAGTAGAGACAGGGCCTCCCTCTTGCCCAGGCTGGTCTCGAACTCCTGGTCTCAAGCAATCCTCCCTCCTCTGCCTCCCGGAGTGCCAGGATTACAGGTGAGAGCCACCGCAGGTGGCCTGCATACATTTTAAACAAGGGTTCCAAACCCCCTCATTACAATGACTGCTTGCACCATGATGATGCATTAACCATCAAAAATCACCTTTTTGCTTTGAAGCTGAGATAATACTTTAATCTAGGAGATAAAAGGTCATCTCCAAATGTTCTAATATAACACACCGAATACTTTTCTTTGCTAGTCATTAGTAGACTCATATGATATGATTAAATGACAACCTAGGTTGTTATGGCTTATCAATATCAAATAAGCAAATTATGTTCATACACCTATGTACCTGAGGAAATAAGCTGCACTTCTTAATTTCAAACAGAGAAAATTCTTAATTTTAATTTTAAATTTTCCCCATATGACAAAGTCATAAAAGGTTCCTTTCCTATCATCTTCTCCCCTCTTCCTCTGGAATGCCCTTCCCTGTTCCCATCTGGTTTGTTGCTATTCTTTCTATTATTGTTCATCTTTCACAGAACATTTTGGGGGACCCCTCACCTCATAGCCCCCGCTGATACCCTGTCCCCACCCCCAACCAGGTTAGGTGCTGCCATAGCCCTAGGGGCTCTCCTTGTGCTCACTTCTCTCATAACTACTCAGACTTGTTTACTCATCTTCATCGAATGATGATCGATTACTGAAGCCGGGGCACTGTGCCAGGGGCTGGGGAGCCAGTGGTAAAGGAAACAAGCTCCATCTGAAGACTCCTTGAGGAACAGAGCTTTTATAGTTAATACTCAGTGTTTTTATTTTATTTTATTTTTTGAGACAGTCTCGCTTTGTTGCCCAGGCTAGAGCGAGTGCCGTGGCGTCAGCCTAGCTCACAGCAACCTCAAACTCCTGGGCTCAAGCGATCCTCCTGCCTCAGCCTCCCAAGTAGCTAGGACTATAGGCACATGCCACCATGCCCGGCTAATTTTTTCTATATATATTAGTTGGCCAATTAATTTCTTTCTATTTATAGTAGAGAAGAGGTCTCGCTTTGCTCAGGCTGGTTTCGAACTCCTGACCTCGAGCAATCCATCCGCCTCGGCCTCCCAGAGTGCTAGGATGACAGGCGTGAGCCACCACGCCCAGCCAGAACATGGAATGTTCACACATACTAAACGCCAGAGCCCTTACAAAAGACTGAGTAGAACTTCCTTCCACTTAAGTGTAAAAATCATGATTATTTTCCTCAGCACTTTTAACGAGGCTGTGTATTTTTATGAAGTTGATTCATTTCACCATTTTTAAAGAGAGAACTTTGACTATAGTATAATGCACTCTTAATTAGCTCTGCTCATAGGGGCAGAATGATAATATACCATAGTATAATGACTATAGATTGTGGACCCACCACCAGCTGCTTACGGACCTTGCAAAGGTCGCTCGTGTTTGCTGGGAAGCCCACCCTCAGCAGGGGCGGGATGGCAGGCTGTGCTCCTGGAGATGGGGTAGAGACCAGGCAGCAATCAGCAACGCCGCTAGGATGGAGAACAGATATGATTTCCATTCGGTAGTTCATTTTCCTTTTTTTGGAGTTTAGAGTGACTAAAGACCCTTGGGGGAAAAAAGTGTTTTTGTTGTTTGTCTTTAATCCAAGAGGCAAAAATATATTCATCACCATCTCCTTTCCTATTTTCTAACTTACTGTTTTGATCAATTTCCATAGTTAATGTCTTTCTTGGTTAATAGTATTTAGAATCTGCATCTGTTATATGCTTCCCAAGTCATGAAGATGGCCATTAACATTCCCGTTCACCTCATATTTATATGATATTCTTAAATGTATACTTTATAATCTTTAATGGTCCTACTAGCCTTTCACAAAGCAATTTCCTCAAGACACTTAGTACAGATTGTGCCCATTTCTATTTTGCTGCACTTTTACCCACCACTTCTAGGGAAAGTAACTGGAAAATTAGTTATATTCAGGACACTTCCTGATGTTGGTCTGGTTTCAGGGATATTAACAATTCAAACTCGATGAACACTTGCAGCAAGGGAAATGGAAATTATATTTTTCTGGGAACTCCTGTTTTGTCACCATTAAATCATAGTCTGAAATGATTTCAGATTGGAAAGATTTCATCCCTGCTACGTCGGCCCCCTGGCTCCAACTGGGCATTTCCTTCAAACTATAAACATCCTTTAGCTTATTTAAATTTAAATTAACTTCAGCAGGAAAGTGGATAAAGAAAAATATTACATTTAAACTGTAAGTTTGGAATAGAGTTTGTTGTGTCCTTTTGCAGATTTTGTAATGGCAAAATTATATTGACTCTGCAAACAACCCTTCTTTTTAACAGATGTGCATGAGACACATGGTTTAGGAAAAGGAAACTAATTATCGTCTCAGATCCATTTGTAATGAAGTAATGTCTCCAGAATTGCCATTGACATGCTACCTTCTTTGGTGGCAGGTCTTGCAAAACCAAGGTCTAAGTGAGTAAATTTGTTACTTCAATTTGTGGAGGTTTATAACTGGCACTTTTCCTCTTGAGTGTCTTAATGTTTGATTAACTGAGGGCTTTGTGCTAAATTAATTAAAGAGGACCCAGTAAGAGAAAATAGAACTAGCCAACTTAATTGTGAAGCATTGTGATATGAAACATCTTTCTAGTACACTCTATGTTTAAAGAAATGTAAAATACTCTTCAGAAAGTCAAGTTAATTTTGTTATCCATCATGCTTTGCGAGAGTGAGTCATTGGATAACAACTTGCTCTTAGTAATAAACAGCTTGTAAATATTCCATACCTAGATTACTAATTTTATGCAAGAACATTAAAGAAAATAAAATAGAATTAATTTTTCAAAATTATATATGGTATGGACTGGCCAACCAACCTTTTAACTGAAGACAACTGGACAAAAAAAATTTTTTAACTGCTTGATGGACTCATAGAGCTAATAAAATAGTGAAGAAATATTGAGCTAAAAGTCAGGGGAGGACATAGAATTGGGGAAGGAGCTTGGAGTTTGGGGTCACTTTTCCCTGGGAGATGTCTGCCAGTCCTGGAGGGTTAATTTGCCAATCCCAGAGGAGGAGGCCGAGGGATTGAACAGTGCTTTGAACAGATGCACAGGGTTTGGGGAACAGGGGATGAGAATCAGAATTTGCCAAAAGAGTGTCTAACGAATCTTCCTTTTTCAGTTTCGGACAGAGCTGCACCCTAGGAGCAGGGGCAAACTGGAAGTCGATGACCCTCACGCCAACCAAAGCTCAGCTTCAAATTATCTCAATGCCTAAAATTGGAATAACATGAAGGAACCAGACAGAAACAATGTCAGTCCACTCTAGAAGAAGATGACATCTTCCTAGGCCTCCAGTTGTTTCTATAATTTTCCAAATGCAAAGTCTGGCATATTAAAAAAAAACAACCCTCGCATAAAACGACCACAAAATATGAATGAAAACCAGCAGAAACAACAGACATACAGGGGCTTGAGATAATAGAGTTTTCAGATATGGACTCAGTAAGTGCTGGGGAAAAAAATAGTTTGAACTCTGGAGCTATACTGGTCAGAAAAGGAAAGGATTGTTAACACACCAAACTGTGGCTTCTAGTCACTAGCCAGTCAGAGGTTGTCCTCTCTTCCCTCATCCCTCCTTAAAACCACTCAGCACAAAAGCACAAACCCAAACTTTACAGGAAGCCCTTACCTCCCTCCCTTGCTGCAGCAAACTGCGCCCCGCTAATTTTTCTATTTTTAGTAGAGACGGGGTCCCACCCTAGCTCAGGTTGGTCTGTTACTCCTGAGCTCAAGTGATCCTCCCGCCTCAGCCTCTCAGAGTGCTAGGATTACAGGCATGAATGAGCCACCGTGCCTGGCCCACTTTTTTGCCTTAAGTAATGGTTAGTTTGAATTGTTCACCTACCTCCTTGTGGCTATGATTTGCCTGGTATTGTCTCATGCACTCACTCTCATCCTTGCTCTCTCTCTCTCTCTTTTTCCAACCTCCTTATGTCATTTTTCTTAAGGAGCCAGGCTACATATGGAACATTTATTTTTTCATTTCTGGTTGCCACATCTTAGCACGTTGGTAATTTCAAAAGTATCCAGGGAAGGAAAATAAGGACTATGAAGGATCCGAAACCATGGCAAATGAATAAATTCAGAACAGCAGTGCACCAAAAGAAAACCTACAGGGAGTATGATGGTTGCCTTCAAATGTCACAAGGTTCTGTGAAAGTGCTATTGGAACCTGGAATTTGAAAAATAGAAAAATTATTCTCCTTGTCCAATCTCTTTATTCTACAAACCAGGAAAGTTAGGCTCAGAGAGAGGCTAAATTAAAATTCTGACTCAAAGTCACAGAGCAGTTCCTTGCTCAGTTGGAATTATAATACTGAACTTCTGGTTCAAGTTAGTCATGTTCTTTATAGCTACAGGAAGACTGACTTAGTGCCTTGTAAGAAATTTCTAGTAATTAGAGTGCTTCAAATATGGAATGGACGACTATTGAAGGATGAATTGTGTCTCTCAAAAAGACACATTAATCATGTCCCTGTAATCCCAGCTATTCAGGAGGCTGAGGCAGGAGGATAGGTTGAGCTCAGGACAGGCGTTTAAGGCCGGCCTGGGTAACACAGCAAGACCTTGTCTCTAATAATTAATTAATTAATTAATGTTAAGTCCTAATCTTTAATACCAGCCAATGTGAACTTATTTGAAAATAGAATCTTTGTAGATGTATACAAATTGCATTCATACTGGATTAGAGTGTTCATATAAGAAGACAGAAATTTGCATACAGACACAGAGGGAAGACGGCCATGTTTAGACAGAGGCAGAGTTTGGAGTGATGCATCTAGAAGCCAAGGAACACCAAGGATTGCTGGCAACTGCCAGCAGCTAGAAAGACGTAAGCCCTAGAGCCTTCAGAGAGGTCACAGTGGTAGTGACACCTTGATTTCAGACTTCTGGCATCCAGAACCGTGAGAGAATGAATTTCTGTTGTTTCAAGCCACCCAGTTTGTAGTACTTTATTTTTTATGTAGCCGACTCACTACAGGTGGTTAGAAACTAAGTGAATCCTGCATTAGGTATTAAATTGAACCAGATTACATTAAAGTTTGCATCCACATCTGAAATATGATAGCATATTCATTTTATCAGTTAAAAATGTAAAGAGATCAGTAACTTCAATAGCAGTGAAAACACGATGTCAGAATATATTTGCCATTTCCAGTGATTTTCATTCCTTTGCATAAATTCAAGTTTGTATATAGTATCATCTTCCTTTAGTCTAAAGAACTTTCTTTATATTAATAGTACAGGCATGCCAATGATAGATTGTGTTCACTTTTGTTTGTTTGAAATGTCTTCATTTTATTATTATTATTTTTTTTATTTTGGCGCTTTGTTTTGTTTTATTTTTAATCCACAGTCTATCCCCAGGCAGCTCCACCCTGGGCTCTAAGGCCATTAAACTTTTTTTTTTTAGCGTATTATGAGAATACAAGTGTTAAGGTTACATATATTGCCCATACCCCCTCCCCCCTTGAGTCAGAACCTCAAACGTGACCATCCCCCAAATGTTGCGCATCTCACTCATTGTGTTTGTATATACCCATCCCCTCCTCCCCCCCCACACCTAGCAACCGACCACCGAATAATGTTATTCCTATATGTCCACTTTAGGTGTTGATCCATTAATACCAATTGGCTGGTGAGTACATATGGTGCTGGTTTTTCCATTCTTGAGATACTTCACTTAGTAGAATGGGTTCCAGCTCTATCAGGGAAATACAAGTGTGCTATATCGCCATTGTTTCTTAAAGCTGAGTAGTACTCCATGGTATACATATACCACATTTTATTAATCCACTCATGAATTGATGGGCACTTGGGTTGTTTCCACAACTTTGCAGTTGTGAATTGTGCTGTATAAACATTCGAGTGCAGATGTCTTTTTTATAAAGTGACTTTTGATTTTTTCGGTAGATGCCCAGTAGTGGAATTGCTGGATCAAATGGTAGGTCTACTTATATCGCATTGAGGTATCTCCATATTGCTTTCCACAGAGGTTGAACTAGTTTGCAGTCCCACCAGTAGTGTAGAAGTGTTCCTATCTCTCCACATCCATGCCAGCATTTATTGTTTGGGGGTTTTTGATAAAGGCCATTCTCACTGGAGTTAAGTGATATCTCATTGTGGTTTTCATTTACATTTCCCTGATGATTAGAGATGTTGAGCATTTTTTCATATGTTTGTTGGCCATTATTCTGTCTTCTTTTGAGAAGTTTCTGTTCATGTCCTTTGCCCATTTTTAATAGGTGTGTTTGATTTTTTTCTTGCTGATTTTCCTGAGTTCTAAATAGATTTAGTTATCAGCCCTTTATCCGATGTGTAGCTTGCGAAAAATTTCTCCCATTCTGTGGGTTGTCTGTTTGCTCTCTTGACAGTTTCTTTGGCTGTGCAGAAGCTTTTTAATTTGATCAGGTCCCATTTATTTATTTTTGTTGCTGCCGTGATTGCCTTTGGGGTCTTCTTCATAAATTCTTTACCTAGGCCAATGTCTAGAAGAGTATTTCCAATGTTTTCCTCTGGAATTCTAATAGTTTCACACCTAAGGTTCAAGTCTGTTACCCAGTGTGAGTTGATTTTTGTGAGAGGAAAGGTATGGGTCCTGTTTCAGTTTTCTACACCATCATTTTTCACAGATATAGAAAAAATAGTTTTACTCTTCGTATGGAACCAGAGAAGACCCCATATAGCAAAATCAATCCTAGGCAATAAAACAAAAAATAGGTATCAATTTACCAGACTTCAAACTATGCTACAAGGCTATAGTCATTAAAATAGCTTGGTATTGGCACAAGAACAGAGACATTGACCAGTGGAACAGAATCAAGAACCCAGATATAAAACCATCCTCATACAGCCAACTAATCTTCGACAAAGCAGACAAAAACATACACTGGGGAAAATAATCCTTATTCAATAAATGGTGCTGGGAAAATTGGATAGCCACATGTAGAAGACTGAAACAAGACCCACATCAACATTATTTTTGAAGGATACTTTTGGTAGACTAGAATTTTAGCTGGGCATGGGTTTTTCCTTCATTTTAACACAAATTTCACTTTAAAATATGTTGCTTCATCATCTTCTGGTTTGTATTATCTCAGATGAGAATTCAATAATAAAATTTATCTTGGATCTCTTGTATATAAGTATCCTTTTTCTCAGATTGCTTTTATGATTTTCTATTTATTAATAGTCTTTAGCAGTTTTATTATAATAGGCATTCGTGTGTGGTATTTTTTGGTGGTGGTGGGGTTATATGGCATGGAGTTCCTTGAACATCTCAGATTTGTGATTAGATAATTTTTATCAAATCAGGAAAGTTTTGGTCACTATTTTTTTGAATATTTTTTCTGCTCCATCCCTTCCTTCTGGAATTTAACATATATATATTAGGGCACTTGATATTGTCCCAGAGGTCAATAAGGCTCTGTTTATTTTTTAACACTTATTTTTCTCTCTGTACTTCAATTTGGATAATTTCTATTGCTTTGACTTCAATTTCCCTAATTCATTCTTTTGTACTATCCGATCTGATCTAAAGCCCATTTGGAGAAATTTTTCATTTGAGATATTAATTTTTCAGTTCTAAAAGTTTCATTTGGTTCTTTTTTATAGTTTCAATATTTATAGTTTTCCGGAAATCCCTAAATATATTCATAATAGTCATCATCTCTTGTCAGTTTTGGATCTGTTTCCATTGATTGATTTTTCTCCTCATCACAGATCACAGTTTCCTTCTTCTTATTATATCTAGTAACTTTTGATTGGAAGCTAGACATCATTAACTTTTTGTAGCTAAATCTATGGATATTTTCATTTTAATTGGTTAAATTTTTGTTATGTGAATTTCACCATAATAAGTTTTTTTAAATTGGTGACTGACTTTTAGTTCCATTTCTGGACAAAATGGAGTAGACACACTTTCCCCATTCCTCCCATTAAATCCAGGTAACAACCATGAATTTTATATGTCAAGCAAACAAATATTCTGAAAGGTTGAGGAGGAAAGCCAGATTGCCTAGGAACCTTGTGTCCTTAGAAGTAACATGGTAGTATAAATATACTGTGTTTTCCCTTTGTTTCATATATTTCAGACTGGGTGATGGAAATGCCAGCAACTTAGAAATACTCACAGATATAGACCAAAAAATCCTAAAGAAAAGTCTTCTTTCTCTAGCCAAAGGACCAGGAAAGGAGCAGCCCGGCAAGATATAAACCATTTGACAATAATTGCCCTACTCCTACCAAACATCGTGGGGAAAAAATGCAACCCCCACCCTACCCACATCAACAAAATCTGAGTAGGAAGCCTTGCTTTTAACCCTCAGTGGGCAATAAAGAGAGATCCCTCCCCTCTGTCTTGAGGTGGTGTGTGTGTGTGGGGGGGGTTAGGTAGAAAGTCAGTATAGCTTGAAGTCTCGTAAATTGATGCATCCCAATTTGTTCTTTTTTGCTTAAGATTGCTTTTGCTATTCAAGGTCTTCTCTGGTTTCATATGAAATGTAGAATTATTTTTTCTAGATTTATGAAAAATCATGTTGGTATTTTAATAGGGATTGAATTGAATCTGTGGATCACTTTGGGTAGTATAGACATTCTAATAATGTTGATTCTGCTGACCCATGAACCTGGTATGGTTTTCTACCTGTTTGTGTTCCATATTTCATAGTTCTCCCTATAGAGGTTTTTCACCTCCTTAGTTAAATATATTTCTGGGTATTTTGTTTTCTTTGTTGCTATTGTGAAGGGTATTGAGTCTTTGATTTAGTCCTCAGTTTGACTGTTGTTGGCATATAGGAATACTACCGATTTCTGTATATTGATTTTGTAGCCTGAGACTTTGCTGAATTTGTTTATCAATGCCAGTAGTCTTATGGCAGAATCTGTGAGGTTTTCTAAATATAAGATCATATTGTCAGCAAAGAGCAATAGTTTGAACTCTTCTGCCCCCATTTGGATGCCCTTGATTTCCTTCTCTTGTCTGATTGCTCTGGCTAGGACTTGCAGCACTATGTTGAATATAAGTGGTGATAGAGAGCAATCTTGTCTGGTTCCAGTTCTCAACAGGAATGCTCTCAATTTTTCCGCTTTCAGTATGATGGTGGTGGGGGTTTGTCATAAATGGCTTTTATCATTTTGAGGGAAATCCCATCTATGCCTATTTTGTTAAGCATTCTTATCATAAAAGGGTACTGAATTTTGTCTAATGCTTTTTCTGCGTCTACTGAGAGGATCATAGAATCCAGTTGTAAAGTGTTTATTCAAGCAAAAAGCTGGGAATAGCCACTCAGAAAACGTGTACTCCAGAGAAATGGGGTCAGTGATCCAAAATTAAAAGTTAAGGTCTTGCTCATATAAGCAGAAAACAAAGAAATTTAGTAGGTTGACATTTTCTATGCAAGGTTGATTTATGAGTTACAATAATTTAGTCACAGTTTGTCTTCTTTTCTATACAGCTTATTTTCATTTCCTTTCCAATTTGAAAGAATGTATTTAACATTCCATTTTAGCCAATGTGATAGTCATGAGGTATTTGAGAAAGGTAAAAAGGAAGTTAATCTATAATGAAGATCAATAGTTAAGAGGGGGGTGTTTTCCCTGTTAGAAGGTGTGGATGCCTGTTAGTAATTTAAGCATTTTACAAAACAATGTAGATAAGGAAAAAACCTAATCTATGATCAGAGAAACAAAGGTTACAGCAGACTAGGTTATAGCTGCCTGTTTGTGTGACTCAGGTCTCATAGTCACATTCCCTTAAGGCTCAGAATATTTTAAAGTCCCAACAGCTCAGATTTTTAATTACTTATTTTGACAGCAGCAACTTCTATGACTCTTCAGGGAATTATGCTGAGTGGAAAAAAGTCAATCTCCAAAAGTCACATAGTATATGATTTCATTTAGA